CCTTCCTTCCTTCCTTCCTTCCTCTTGTCCTTTCCTTTTCCTTCCTTTATTTCTCTCCTTCCTTCTCCTTTCTCTTCTTTACTTCCTCTTATCCTTGCCTTTTTCTTCCTATTGTCTATTTCTCTCTCCTTCCTTTCTTCCCCTTGTCCTTTCCTTTTCCTTCCTTTTTTCTCTTTCTCTTTCTTACCTTCTCCTTTCTCTTCCTTCCTTCTACTTGTCCTTTCCTTTTCCTTCCTTCCTCTTGTCTATTTCTCTCTCCTTCCTTTCTTCCTTCTTTTGTCCCTCCATCCCATCCCTCCAACCAACCTACCTTCTGTCATGTTATTTTATCTATCTCACAATCCTGGAATCAAAGGGCTGGGAGGGACCTTAGAGGTCTTCTAGTCTAACCCCCTGCTCAAGACCCTAGGCCACACTTGACAAAGGACTCTCCAAACTCTACGGACCCTAAATAAACAGCCCAGGAATTTGTAATCCCTGCTTTTTATCGGGCCAGGCCAGACCTCGAGGCACAGGGAGGCAACGCGGAATACAGGCAGGGAACGGTGGTCTGAATTTGAATCCAGAATCCGCGAAAGTCCTTCTCATGGATTCCGTGGTGGGGCAGAAACCCTCCGGGTCTTCCGGCGTGGTCCCGCCCTGCCCCCCCCCCAACTAACCCCTGCAAAAGCCACCTTACCGTTTAAACAGGCTTCGTGGAGGGGCGAGGCGATGTACAATGGTGGGTTGACCTTGGCCCCGTGCGAGAGGAGGACTTTCACGCACTCGATGCTCCCCGAGGCACAAGCGTCGCAGAGCGGGGTGCTCCCGTCGATGTTTCTGGCGTCCACCTGTGGCAGAAAAGGAGAAAAGCAGAGGTGGGTATTCAACCCGTTCTGGAGAACCGGCAGCGTAAATGTTGAGTGGTTCGGAGAACCGGCCAATCCCGCCTCGGACTGGCCCCGCCAACCCCATCTCTTCTCTGCCTCCCATTGAGTCCCAGCTGATCGGCTGGATCTCCTTTGGCTGCCCTGCCCAGGAGAACGGAGCTGGAAAGCAGGTTAGAGGGGTGGAGAGGGAATGGAGATTTTGCAGTAATCTTGTCCTGCCATGCCCACCAAGCCACGCCATGCCCAAGCCACGCCTGCCACACCACGCCCACCAAGCCTCCTTCCTTCCTTCCTCCCTTCCTGCCATCCATCCTTCCCTCCCTCCCCTTCCTTTCTTCCTCTCCTATTTTTCTCCTTCCTTCCTCTCTCCACTCCTTCCCTCAGCCTCCTTCCTTCCTCCCCTATTTCTCCTTCCTTCCTTCCATCCCTTCCTCCTCCATTTCCTTCCTCCCTTCCTCCTCCATTTCCTTCCTCCCTCCCTCCCCTATTTCTCTCCTTCCTTCCGTTCATCCTTCGTTCCTTCCTCCCCTATTTCTCTCCTTCCTTCCTCTCTCCACTCCTTCGCTCAGCCTCCTTCCTTCCATCCTTCCATCCATCCATCTTTTCCTCCATCCCCTATTTCCTTCCTTCCTCCCCTATTTCTCTCCTTCCTTCCTCTTTCCACTCCCTCAGCCTCCTTCCTTCCTCCCCTATTACTCCTTCCTTCCATCCCTTCCTCCCCCATTTCCTTCCTCCCTCCCTCCCCTATTTCTCTCCTTCCTTCCTTCCTTCCTTCCTTCCTTCCTTCCTTCCTTCCTTCCTTTCTTCCTTGCTTGAGATTTAACTTTGCACTTTCTTTACAGAAATTTCTTATTTTTCTTCCTCCCTCCCTCCCCTCCTTCCTTCCTTCCTCCCTCCCTCCCCTATTTCCTTCCTTCCTTCCTTCCTTCCTTCCTTCCTTCCTTCCTTCCATCCATCCATCCATCCATCCATCCATCCATCCTTCCTTCCTTGAGATTTAACTTTGCACTTTCTTTACAGAAATAATTCTTATTTTTCTTCCTCCCTCCCTCCCTCCCCTCCTTCCTCCCTTCCTCCTTTCTTCCTCTCTCCCCTATTTCTTCCCTCCCTCCTTCCCTCTGTATCTTATCTATCTCACAGAATCCTAGAGACCAAGGGTAGGAAGGTTCCTTGGACCTACAAAGGCTAGCTGGCCGCCTGGGACCAATCGGAAAACCTGCACCCCAAACCCCCCCAGGAACCAACCTCGGGGCGACCGAAACGCTCACTGGCCTCCTTTCTCCAGGGGTTTCAGCTCCCCCCCCCTTGCTCCCCCCCTCCCTTCACACCTGGGCTCCTGCGGCCAGCAGCATCTCCACACACCGCGTCTGCCCACGCAGGCTGGCTTCGTGGAGGGGCGTGATGGAGTCGTAGGTGACCAGGTTGACACAGGCGCCGTTCTCGATCAGCTCTTGGAGGTGACGGACCTCCCCGTCTCGGGCGGCTTCGTGAACCGGCGTCCTCTCTGCCCAAAACGCTACAGGGAGACGGAGGGAGGGGGGGGAGGCGCATTTAAAACTGTCGTGACCCAAAAAAAGGAGAAGATTTGCAGCTCAGCGTCTTTTTCTTTCAGACGTTTCAGGACCCAACTAGGTAACGTCATCAGTGCTAGGAGGGAGTGGGATTTGTGGAGAGGAGGAGGAGGAAGAATGAGGAGGAGGAGGAGGAAGATGAAGAGAAAGAGGAGGAAGAAGAAGAGGAGGAAGAGGAAGAGGAAGAAGAGGAGGAAGGAGGAGGAGGAGGAGGAAGAAGAAGAAAAGGAGGAGGAGGAGGAGGAGGAGAAAGAGGAGGAGGAGGAGGAGGAAGAAGAAGAAGAGGAAGAGGAAGAAGAAGAAGAAAAAGAAAAAGAAGAGAAGAAGAAAAAAATAGGAGGAGGAGGAGGAGGAGGAGGAGGAGGAGGAAGAAGAAGAAGA